ACACACACACACACACACACACACACACACACACACACACACACACACACACACACACACACACAAACAAGTCTTTTATAGTGTTGACCCTATAAAAGGGTCATTTCCTGAAGGTGCAGGAACCATAAAAATTAAGAGGGAGAGCGCTAAAAGGACAGAGCACCAGCAGCCGGACTGTCTTCAACTCACTGGTCAGTGTTTGCTGGAAGTTGATGACTATGTGAGGTTTTTATAGATATAGTCTCAGTTTGACGATGACACCTGTTCTCCTTGTGTAGTTGCTGGCATCAGTTCAGGGAAAGATAAACTTTGGTGTTTGAATTGTTTGGGCGCTGAGGCATGAGCGGTTTGTTTAAAAAGGAGTAAAAACTTAAGACACGTCCGTACGACTGTAGAAATTGCACAACGTACCGTCAACTTTATGGCTAATAAAATTTCAAAGGGACCAAAGTCTATTAATACGGGGACAAAATTTCCCCAGGACCTCAGGAATCTCACTCCTTCCACCCTCCTTCCTCTATTCCCACGCTCCTGTGTACCAGTCCCTGCAGCTGGCTTTTTCCCCCTGGCATTTGGAAATATACCACCTTCATCAATAATACAAGAAGAATGGATATAAGACCGCCTTAATCCATGTTTGAAGACACTACTGCACATACATATTTCCTCCTGCTGCTTTTTCAGCTGGTGTGTGTATCGCTGCTGAGTTCCTTGTTGCTTCTTTAAAGGGTTTCAGAGAGGGAGCTGGAGAAAGGTGCACCGTGGCTCATGCTATGGCTCTGGTGGGGAGGCGGAGGGAAGAAGAGAGCAAGTCCACAGGGAGCAACAAGCAGCCCAATCTTATCCTAAAGGGACAGAAATAATGGAAGGGTTTTATAGGTACAATTAAAAAGACCTGAAACAGATGTTACGTTCCACTAATAAACGAAATAATTACTTTGGACCAGTAATTAAGGCCTATATAGGGACGCGAGGGAGGAGGAGGAAAAGGGGAGTGAAAAGATAAAACGGAGCTCATTGAGGGGATTATTGTTGATGAATGTGTTCAGGCTCTGTGTGGTGATGTGTGAGGAGGTGCTGAGGATCAGTTTATGGAAGAGTCCATTAAATCTAAGGCATTTAAGCAAACGAAATGCTGCGTGGGCGCAACGTTGGATCCCACGAGGGAGCCAGTATGTTGGAAAGAGGCACAATTAACAGTGGATTACCTCATTATTATCTGCATGAAAATTTAATCAGCCTCTTTTCTGCGGCAAAAGAGAGCAGCTTCGTACCGTATTTATCACCTGTGGTTGTATTTCTCCTCACCATACCCACATCACCCGAGGACATTCATTATGGAAGTTGTGAAAATGCATGGTTTGAGTAATTTCTTTAGGGACGAGGGCCAAGTTTGATTTATATAATGTACAGCAGAAATGGATAAAGAGAAGCTCATGAAGGGAACTATGGCCATATTATGTTGATTATAACTGAGGAAAAGAGGGAAAAAAGCTTCCTCAAGGGAGGTTTGGCACAATCTGGCCACACTGACTTTGCCTTTTAGAGAAAACTCTTGGCTCAGG